ACCACTTCAGTAGGATGTGAGGTCCCCCCCCCCCCAACCCTAACAAAATAATATATTGCTCCCCCCTAGCTAAAGTCCTAGTTGCGCCTCTGCAGCGCTCGGCCCAGAAATTGTCCAAAAATCTTACACTAGGACGGATCCCCTCGAGATTCAGCTCAAACTCTAATTTATAGCAATCAAATATATGTATGTCTGAGAAATATTCAAAATTATAGTATTTTATTCCTAAATTTCTGCCCGGGTCTTACGCCCCGATCCATTCCAAATTTACACTACCAGTACCTAGTATATTACACTATAAACAACTATAACTATAGTTAAGCAGCTTGCACCTCTAGGATAAAAGACAATTTGCTACAGAAAAGAGGATAAATTCAAGAAATATGATTCAAAGAACATGGTCAAGATTTATATATGCAGTTACAAAAATTACATTGCTATTTCAAATCTGTTTATTTTTAGAACTTTTATTTATTAAAATGGAGGAAATGTTTTCAACTTCGTTGTGTGAAGCAGAGTTTGCTCGAGTTGGACTTAAGTTCTGGATTGGTAATTTTAGGATAATAATATTGGACATTTCATAGACAGGACATTTCATGAATAAAACATTTCAAAGACAGGACATTTAAAAAATAGGACATTTCAAAGACATGACTTTTTTTGACAGGAGTAGTACATTTAAATGACGAGACTTTCTTATGAAAGGAGTAGGAAATTTCAATGACAGGACATTTCGTAGACAGGACATTTCACGGACAAGACATTTTATAGACAGGAAATTTCATAGGTACAGAAAACTTTATATGTGGACATTTCATAGACGGACATATAATAAATACAGGATATTTTATAGACAGGACTTTTTATTATAGTGGTAGGAAATTTCATGGGCAGAACATTTCAAAGACAGGAAACTTTTTAGATGGACATTTTCTAGACGGACATTTAATATAGACGGGACTTTTTTTGACGTGAGTAGGAAATTTCAATGACAGGACATTTCATAGATGGGGAATTTTAAAGACGAAGAAGATTATTTGCAGATTGGGTCTTTTATTTCCTTTTCCAAAATTATCTTTAATATATTATACGATGTTATATCAAATTAAATTAAATATACGATACAAAATATACGATACAAAATATACGATACAAAATATACGATACAAAATATACGATACAAAATATAAGATACAAAATAAGCCGATTTTCTTCTGTTCATAGATTATCTTATCCATTAGATTTTCAAAACCAATTTTAGATTAAAATTAAGATTTTTAGGAATCTTTCTTGGGAATGAATTAAAAATACATAAAAAGATAGATTAATTATCTTGTATTTTAAAAATTGCACCTTTTTTAAAATTAAGCCTTATAGCTTCGTGTGTGTGGACAGTTTTCCTGAATGTTTATTCTAAATCAAATTCTTCTATATACTCTTTTTAAAATTTATGAACATTTCTCTGAAGGTGATGATGTTCATAGTTCAATCTAAACCAAATTCTTTTATATACTCTTTTTAAAATTTATGAACATTTTCCTGCAGGCGATGATGTTCATAGTTCAATCTAAACCAAATTCTTTTATATGCTCTTTTTAAAATTTATGAACATTTCCCTGCAGGTGATGATGTTCATAGTTCAATCTAAATCAAATTCTTCTATATACTCTTTTTAAAATTTATGAACATTTCCCTGCCGATGATGATGTTCATTGTTCAATCTAAATCAAATTCTTTTATATAGCCCTTTTTTGATGTTCATAGTTCAATCTAAATCAAATTCTTCTATATACCACTTTTTAAAATTCATGAACATTTCCCTGCAGGTGATGATGATGAACCTCTAAAGCTGGATATCCATACTGCAGCTAGTGTTGGCGATATAGAGGTATTTTTCCAGATGTTTCTACAGATATTAAGGCGGAGAATCAACGGCCATCGCTTGATCATGAATTTTTTTTAATTTGCAGATTAATTTAATATTTATTTTGAATCCTGCATGGTTATCTTACCCAGTCAGAAGTTAAAAGGAGATTTCATCGGGGGAGGAACAACTAAAATTATTATTATTGAAAATTATAATTTTATATATATCCTTAAATTAAAAGTTCCCACAATGGATATCAAAATCAATCGATTATGAGTATCAAATATCAGTACAAATTTCACAATGTGTCGGAATATTTTATATTGAAGAAAATAAGAAGACGACCGTAATTTCTTAGTTTTCAGATTTTTACCGTACAATTATTTTTCAGTACATAAACAGTTTACCTAAGAGTACATATGATATGTACAACTATGCTAGATGGACGCCACTTATGTACTCATGCTACTTGGGCCACAGGAGGCTTCTAATTTTCTTACTCGAACAGGTTTGGAAACAAAAACAAACATGGTTGTAATGATAAATCTTGTTTTTTATATTTATTATTGCATTGTTAGTTTAAAGTTAAGATTTGTAACAAAAAGTTTATAATGTTTTGTTTCAGACTTTATGCATTATTTGTAATTACTTTTTTAGGGTTGTGATATCTGTAAATCTAATATAGAAGGAAGAACACCTCTTATGCTTGGTAAAATATTCAAATCCCGCTGATTTTAAGTGATCAATAAGTCTTAAAAATGCTACATAGTAGGATATATAGTTAATGTAAATACATTGAGAATTAGAAAACAGTGGAATTCTCGTCGCGACGTTTTCTTTTTCTTTTAACTATAAACTTTCTATAAGGAAACTCAAATAGTGTCCCTGAACATTTTTAGATATTTAATACAGGGGCGTATTCAGGAATTTTTCCAGGGGGGGGCTTTAATTTTTTTCTCTTTCCAGGGGGGCTCAGCACCCGTTGGGGCCTGAAAACCCCTTGAAATCAATAGATTTCATTGGTCCAGGGGGGCTTAGCCCCCCTGAATACGCCTCTAATTCAATACATCATTTAAATCAACTGCAAATTAAAAATTCGGTGCGTGGATAAGCAACGTTTAATTTCAAAATCAGATGGAATCAAACATATATTATTAATTTAACATTTAACATTTTAAATTTATAAATAAGAATTAAAATATATGCCGAGCAAAAAGTTTAAATTCCGATTATGGTTTTTATTTTGTTTTAGCTGGTATGTGTGGAAATCTTGAAATGGTGAAGGATATTCTAATTTGGAGAAATGAACGAGTGGAAGTCAGGGATAAAACAGATAAAAGGTCTGCTATGTTTATATAGAACCAGGGGCGCATATAGGAATTTATCAAGGGGGCTCAGCCCTGTAACCCCCCCCCCTTTCCTATGTTCATCCTAATGGAATACTCGGGTTTTTAAAGAAAGAGAAGGATGAGAAACAGTTTTGAAGGCGAAAAGTTTTCATGTTGATTTAAAAAAGTTTTTAACTTTAGTATGTGCAATTGTCAGGTCAGTCAAATGATAAAAATTTTAACTGAAGGGACTAAAGGTGTAATTTCAAGTGAACCTGCATTTACAGAGTGTCAAGTTTGATTCGTAAGAATATATCGCAAATTCTAGCCATTTCCTTCTTTATCTATGTTAGCCATAAGTTACTTTTTAAGAGGTACTATACATTTTGGAACTGATTTTCAGATGAAGAATTAAATGGCACCGTTTTGAATCAATTCTCATTTGTCATTGCTTGAACACTTCTTCAAAGAGAAAGAAGTTGTTCCTAAAATTTGTCTTTAAATTTCTTCAGGTCGACCCAGCCCGTCCGCTCCCTCTATTTCACTTTTCTATATAAGTATTGGGATCCGGGGGGGGGGGGGTTCAGATCTTCCCTTATCTTATCATATCATATCATAAAGATACAAATTGTAACCCTGATCAAGTGAGTTTAATACATCTGTAACATTTTTCAGGAACTTTAGTGCTCTTTCTCATGCAGTACACGGTGGGCATATTGATGTAGTTGAATATCTTCTGGAGCAGGGGGCTTCACCAAACATTACAGAACATGAGAAGGTCATTTAATTCAACGTAATACAATTATATCCTTAGAATACTTAGAAGACTGGTGATCGTGGATCATTGAACCATATTCTGCCACCGATTCAAGCTCAAGATTGACCGGCTGATGGCAATGATCATTGATCGATGACAGTTATAAAATAAAATAATTATGATTGACCTCAATAGGATTAGTTAATTATTAGTAAATTCTGGTTCAGGGATATAGTTTAGTAATGATGGCTGCAGTAAGTGGAAACTATGATATTACAGAAATATTGTTGGAGCACAAAGCAGGAAACAAGATTGGAATTTTTAATTCAGATATTTATATTTTTAAGTGACTTGACCATTGTTTTTTTATCTTTCACATTAAATGTTTGACTGGTGGGTAGGGAGGGGCAAATTTAAAAGGGATTTTTTTTGTTATTTTTACGAAACAAGATATATTTTTTAACACAAAGTAATTCCAATCTTTTTTTCAGATCTTGGATACGAAAATGCAATAGGAACAGTTTTATAAGTATTGAATAATGAAGTTTTTTTTATCTTTTAGCTTTAGATACTTTGGCGTGTAACAATGATGGAACTTTAAATCAAATAATATTCGTAATTAAAAATTAAAATTTGTTTCAAAAATAATTTTAGCACATGGTGATTATTAACGTGGTAATGTATAAAGTATATAAATTTTTAGTACAACAGTATCACCGGCCAAAAATGAGACATTAGAATTAACAACCTATAATTTTTAATATTGATAACCTTAATTTTGCTTTGGCAATAACCAAAAAGCATAACATTTTTGAATTCGCTTTGTGGGGAAAATTAATTATTTTAGACAAAATCTTCATATATAACGATAATATAATTGTTTAAAGGGGACACAGCTCTGTCAGTAGCATTAGCCTACGGGCACAGTAATATTGCAAGACTCATCAGGAACATGTTATAAAATTAAAACATCATTTATTCTTAGTTCATGTGTATTAATTTCGATAGAGTTTTTAGAACAGGTGATTGTTTTAAATCTCAGAAACGTTGGATTCTTCTTTTAATTAAAAAAACCATAAACAGTTCTTTTTGAAAATGATTTTATTATCATGCTTTTAGGAAACATCTATCTGGACGAGGGTATAAATCTTAAAAATTACAATTTTCTGAAAAATCGCTTGATTTAGCTCAATTTGAGTTTTCTTTTGTTTCACTTATTTAATTTTTATTTAATTCTGGCTTTATTTGTTTAGACTTCCTTTTATTTATGATTTATTATTTCATAGAGACACTTTATTACATTATTACACCGTTAAACAGAATTGATGAGCTTTCAGAGACGACTCTGTACTTTTGAAAATTCAATGATTTTTAGTGTCCCAAAATTGTTGGAATTCACTTGATTTATATAATTAAAGACTGGAATTGGTCTTTACATTTGTTTCCAAAGAATTCTTGTTTGTAATTAAAAACTGCCGTTGTAGTGTCAACTATTTTCCATTAAAAGCAAGGAACTCCCTGATTCACTAAGGTACCTTTATCAAAAATGGAAAGATATCGTCGTTTCTCCAGCTTGAAGTGTTTGATTTTGACAATTAAAGAAAAACTGTTTCCCATTATAATTGGAAAGTCCCTAATACAAAATTGCCGATTAAAAACAGCCCTCCGGTTCCTCCCCCCCCCCTTGCTGCACCGCTCGGCCTCCAAGTCTGTCCTAGCCGCTGCGCTCGGCCCCCTAGCCTGTCCTTGCCGCAGCGCTCGGCCCCCTTCCGTAGTCTGCGGCGCAACCCAACCTATCCTAAATTAATGCTATAAATAAGTTAAAAAATTTTTTTGAATGAGAAGACTACATTACATTAGTTTTTTTTGAGGCATTTCCGTGGTGAGACGTTTCAGTGGTGAGGCGTTCCCCCCCTCCCGTCATTTGCACATACGACTTGCTAAAATGAATACATATTTTACAATTTTTTTGTAGAACCAGAAGTGTGCTAGATGGGCCTGCTAGAGCAGACCAACTTATGCAAGAAAAGCTTCTTCTTAGGACTGGAAACAGCTCACACATTTTACAGGTTAAAATCAGATGAAGCATCTTTAAAATTTATTTGAAACTACTCTTAATTATCATTTTTTTAAACATATTCTTCACGGATATGGTCACCTTCCTCTGAACGGGGTTAGGGTTGTATGGGTGTTATTGTTAAAGATAAAACCTAGCGATTTTCATAAATGTTTCTTTTAGTTAGGAGCTGCATCAGATCTCTTGTACGCTCAGCAACAGATTGATGGAGAAACAACCCAAATGAATACAGGTATTTTTAATTGTACAATATTTAATGTCAGGGTAAACAAAAAAGTAGCGTCTGAAGTTAAATTAATCACTAATTGTGCACCCCTTCTCATGAACTTAAAATAGAAAACAGCTGACAGTCTAATGCGATGATAATTTTATTGGATTTAAAGTTAGTTTTTGTTTGTATTTAGTTTTTATTTATTAAATTAATTTAGATTTTTTAACAAAAATAATTACTGGTTATATCTATAATGAATAACTCTCTAGATGTTTTCCTGAAGAACTTGGGCCTGGAAAAATATTCGCAAATATTTCGGTAGGTTTTTAACAATTTCATACATTTCATTTTTCCATAGGCTGGTTTTATTATTTAGAGGGAGAAATGGTCAAATATAGGACAAAATAAGATAATTAGCAAAATTCGAAATTTTTAAAAACAGAAGTGACTTTTAATATAATATATAGATTAAAAGTATTTACTTATAGATGCTTTTTTTACGAACCCCATAATCTTTAATGGTATGCTTGTTGTACAAAGATTCGCTATAAACTTCCAGTTACGTGTTCTCCCTATTTTTACTTTGACATTTTTCTAAAAACATGTTTTTTTTCCATAACTTTTAGTATTTGAAATATTTAATGTATGATTTTTTTGTGATTTTTTTTTCTTAGTTTACAACTAGGGTTTCCATTTTTCCGGAAAAACAATGTCCATTTTGGAAATGGAATGATCCGGAAATTTGTTGCGTAAACCGGAATTCCGGGATAATTCCGAATCAAATGGAGATGTCTTCAACGTTTTCCGGAACCTTTTTCCGGAAAATTCCGGAACAACTGTTCCGTAAACCGGAATTTTCCGGAACACTATTCCGTAACGTTCCGTAATTCCAAAACAAGGTCCTGGAAATTTCTGGTGTACGGGAAAAAATCGTTCCGGAATTCCGGATTTCCGGAATCTTTTCCATAATGGAAATGGAAAAAATTCTCGAATCATTTCCTTACTTAAACCGTAACCCGGAATTCCGGTGGAAACCCTATTTACAACCGGTCTCCTACTTTAAAAAGGTATCCTCCTCCTAATAAACATGGGTTACTTTACAATGGGTCTCCTGCTTTAAAAAGGTATCCTCCTTCTAATAAACATGATTTACTTTACAACAGGTCTCCTACTTTAAAAAGGTATCCTCCTTCTAATAAACATGGTTTACTTTACAGCAGGTCTCCTGCTTTAAAAAGGTATCCTCCTTCTAATAAACATGATTTACTTTACAACAGGTCTCCTACTTTAAAAAGGTATCCTCCTTCTAATAAACATGGTTTACTTTACAACAGGTCTCCTACTTTAAAAAGCTATCCTTCTTCTAATAAACATGGTTTACTTTACAGCAGGTCTCCTACTTTAAAAAGGTATCCTCCTCCTTATAAACATGGGAATGAAGTGACCACTCAAAGATTATCTTTGAACTTTTTGTAAATTATGCATGAAAGTATTCTATTTTAACAATTATTATCAAAAACACCTTGCTTTAAAATTTAAACTGGAGGCCTTCCTTTCCATGCTTCATGATTGACGAATATATTAAGAATATATAATTATATACTGAATCATTTAAAATAAATGTCAACTGTTTGAATATTGGATATCTTCTGTTATATCTGTACGTATCTTGAATTGTTGAACAGGAAGCCTACATTTAAGCAATCTTACACTGATAACCAGAAAAATGTAAAATGAAGACGACATTAAAGCAACACTGAAGTACATTTGATGTTACAAATCAAATAGTGAACACCACACCAGTAAGTTATTGTATCACTTATTAAGCGAAATGGGTTTGTTTTCACCGCACAATTACCAGCGTTTTCTAGTTATCACTGTATGATAATTTAATGCTATATAACAGTACCAAAAAAATAAACTTATCAAGATAGGTTGACGGGACTTTTAATCAAAGAATGAGTCCAACAGTCCTTTGTTTCAGTTTTATCTGTCTCACTTCATCAAGAGTGTAAATCATGTTATGTACTGGTCTAAAGATTTGAAACCTTTTTTTGATACATCCTTTTTCGATTATTATTTATTGAAAAGAAATTTCCATTATCAAGTAATCTTTTCATCCCTTTGTTTATAGATTCACCCTTAAATGCTGCACTTTTTATAGATCTTAAATTTCCTTAATCCCTCTTTTATTTTTCAGTTTTCCTTTCTGAGTAAAAGTAAATTTGTTACTTGGCTATTGAACAATATCTTTTAAGTCATTTCTTTCAAATAAATGTTGGAAATTTTTTTTAATCAAAACTATAAATTTTAATCTTCATGAAGTTTATTAGACCAAGAATTTCTTATATTATTTCGACTATTTCATGTTATCTTTATATTTAAATATAACAAGTAATCAATGTTTTATGTTTTCTGTTTTTTTGTTTAATGTCCGATCATAACTCAGGAACCCCTCGAACAATTGGCCTCAACTATTGATTAATTTCTTCAAGTTTAGTTTCAAGGAAAAATGGGTTCCCAAGCTAGTTTAAAAAATCTGCAATGAACTAAGTTCTAAAGTAGATATATATTTTCTAAACATTTCTTATGAAGTTTTTATTAAGAAAACTGGTTCATAGTGTATATTTATTACTAATTAATAGAAATTGAATATTATTACATGTAACTAACTAAATAGTTACATTTCACTTAGTATCAATTATTTTAAATTGAAGGGAATTGTAGTAGGATTATCAGATAGCCAATCAGGTTGCTGATAATGCCCATGAATGTTGTTTTATCCACTAGGAAAAATCCCCGTGCTGAAAATTGTGTCTCTTCTCCAATCATATCCAAAACTCAAAATTTTTATTTCAGTTCAATATAAATGTATAATTGATTGTTCCTTTATTTCGCCTTTTATCAATTATATATTTGAAGTTGTCTGTCTGTTAGTTTTTATCGCTCTGAACTGATCAGGCCCAAGTCTTTAAGAGGTCCTTACATTACATAACCCCGGGCATGTTTATGACCTGTTCTATATCAGTGTGAAAAGATTGAAATTTTTAACTAATTTTGGAAGATCATCATTATAAAACATGAAAATTCTCAAAGTTTTTCATTATTTTTAACTTAACAAGTTAATGGCTTTTAGTGTATGTCCTGTTGGGTAATATTGCATTGAAAGTTACCTATGTGGATATTTTGTTTTTCCTCTTCATCAGACTCCAATGCAATTCTCCTTTGAAATAAGTTTGCTTCAATATAATAAAGAAATTGACAAAAAAATGTAAGAATATGAATTCACCTCAGTTTTTGATTGTTAGCTGATAGTGCTTGAAATGTATCATCACAAAATATTATTATATAATAAATTGTTAAAACAAGGTTTGGAACAGACAAAGTGTAAGTTAAGGCGGAGTAGTAATCTTTGAGACCAATGAGTTTCAGTCCAGTGTATGATGCTAGAAGAGCAAACACTACATAGAAGGATAAAAATATAAGGAGCAATGGACTTAACCCTTCCTTTAACCTTCCATACTCCTTCACAAGATCTACACACCCAGAAATCATGTGTTCAGCTTTGTTCTGGCAATTTACTTCTCCAGTATGGGAAATAAATTGATTACAGACCAAGTTGATCACAAAAAGGGTGACCATGTTCAAACTAGAGTAGAATATCCAAGTAGTGGAGAAAAGAAGTACTCCCACATAGACATTATCCATCGTATTCCATAACCCATATAACGAAAAGGCAAGAATAGCCGTGAACATTATTGAGAAAAAGCAAAGCTTAGGAATTTTTGTGAGCTTAACATGGGCATTAAGATCCACTTTTGACTTGTCTATAATGTAAGCTAGAAGTGCTGGTATAAAAAAAGGAATAAGAATCAGGTTTGCAGAAATCAACTGATCTGTAACAAATTGTACAAATCCTACAGCTAGATCATCCTTGGATTCAGAGAGATTTGGGTTTAAAAAACTATTTAAAATAGTGCAAACAACTATTGGTAGAAACCACCAGAAGGTGTAGGATACCAAAGTTTTCGTTGATAATATTTTAAACTTCCATAAGTCATTCTGGTCCTTGGTGACAGGGATTGCTCCTAAAAATCAGATTTATTCTATGAAAGTAAATGAAAAATTTATTTCTCTTACCAATTTTAACAAATATTATCAGCTTCATTTTCAATCCTGTTCCCTTGGCTTTTGTCGATTGATTAAACCATTGTGGCCATGTGAAAGTTGTTTAATCGACCCCAAGCTTAAATAAACATGTATTTCCGATAGTTCTGTGGAATGCAAACTAGGAATTGACGTCTTTATACATATAAACCAATTAGTTTAAGTGCTACATGGTTACCCAAGGTTTACATACAATTGAAAATATTAATAAATTGAATTAAATTCTATTTAATTTCTAGTTACCGGTATTTACTGTTTATGGAAGCAGTTAATTCTCACTTTAACTGACACTTATTTAAGGGAGTAAGGAATAGATTTCCAGTTTATTCTTACTTCAACTGAAAATGATTTCTGATTTAAGGGAATAAGAAGTAGATTTCCAGTTACTTCTTAATTTACCCGACAATGATTTCTTATTTAAGGAAGCAAGAAGTAGATTTCCAGTTAGTTCTCACTTTTGCTGAAAATGATTTCTTATTTAAAGGAGCAAGAAGTAGATTTTCAGTTAATTTTCACTTTCGCAATAATTTCTTGTTAAAGGGAGAAATAAGTAGATTTTTCCAGTTTATTCTGACTTTAACTAAAATATATTTTGTTTAACTTTTCACTTTAACTACAATAATTTCTTGTTTTAGGGAGCAAGAAGTAGATTTCCAGTTTTATTCTGACTTTAATTACAATAATTCATGGTTTAAGGCAGCAAGAAGAAGATTTCCAGTTATTTATTAATTTAACTGACAATAATAGCTTGTTTTATGGAGCAAGAGCTAGGTAGACTTCTCACTTTACCTGACAATGATTTCATATTCAAGGGAGGAAGAATTGTAGATTTCTCGTTACTTCTCACGTTAATTGAAAATGATTTCTCGTTTAAGGAAGGATAAAGCAGATTTCCAGATAATTCTCAATTTAAGCGACAATGATTTCTTATGACAATGATTTCTTGATATTCAGTTTCTTCTCACTTTAACTGACAATAATTTCTTATTTAAAGGAACAAGAAGTAGATTTCCAGTTACTTCTCAATTTACATAACAATGATTTCTTATTTAAGGGAGTAAGAAGTAGATTTCAAGATACTTCTCAATTTACCCGACAATGATTTCTTATTTAAGGGAGTAAGAAGTAGATTTCCAGTTAATTCTCAATTTAAATAACAATGATTTCTTACCTTAGGGAACAAGAATAAGATTTCCAGTTAATTCTGCATTTAAATAACAACGATTTCTTATTTATGGGAACAAGAAGTAGATTTCCAGTTACTTCTGACTTTAACTGGCAATGATTTCTTATTTAAGGGAACAAGAAGAAGATTTCCAGTTACTTCTGAATTTAAATAACAATGATTTCCTATTTAAGGGAGCAAGAAGAAGATTTCCAGTTACTTCTTAATTTACCCGACAATGATTTCTTATTTACGGGAGCAAGACGAAGATTTCCAGTTAATTCTGAATTAAAAAAACAATGATTTCTTATTTAAGGGAGCAAGAAGTAGATTTCCAGTTACTTCTCAATTTACCCGACAATGATTTCTTATTTAAGGGAGCAAGAAGTAGATTTCCAATTACTTCTGAATTTAAATAACAATGATTTCCTATTTAAGGGAGCAAGAAGAAGATTTCCAGTTAATTCTGAATTTAAAAAACAATGATTTCTTATTTAAGGGAGCAAGAAGAAGATTTCCAGTTACTTCTGAATTTAAATAACAATGATTTCCTATTTAAGGGAGCAAGAAGTAGATTTCCAGTTACTTCTTAATTTACCCGACAATGATTTCTTATTTAAAGGAGCAAGAAGTAGATTTCGAGTTACTTCTGAATTTAAATAACAATGATTTCTTACTGAAGGGAACAAGAAGAAGATTTCCAGTTACTTCTGAATTTAAATAACAATGATTTCTTATTTAAGAGAGCAAGAGAAAGATTTCCAGTTACTTCTGAATTTAAATAACAATTATTTCTTACTGAAGGGAACAAGAAGAAGCTTTCCAGTTACTTCTGAATTTAAATAACAATGATTTCCCATTTAAGGGAGCAAGAGGAAGATTTCCAGTTACTTCTGAATTTAAATAACAATGATATCCTATTTAAGGGAGCAAGAAGAAGATTTCCAGTTAATTCTGAATTTAAATAACAATGATTTCTTATTTAAGGGAGCAAGAGAAAGATTTCCAGTTACTTCTGAATTTAAATAACAATTATTTCTTACTGAAGGGAACAAGAAGAAGATTTCCAGTTGCTTCTGAATTTAAATAACAATTATTTCTTACTGAAGGGAGCAAGAAGAAAATTTCCAGTTACTTCTGAATTTAAATAACAATGATTTCCTATTTAAGGGAGCAAGAAGAAAATTTCCAGTTAATTCTGAATTTAAATAACAATGATTTCCTATTTTAGGGAACAAGAAGAAGATTTCCAGTTACTTCTGAATTTAAATAACAATGATTTCCCATTTAAGGGAGCAAGAAGAAGATTTCCAGTTACTTCTGAATTTAAATAACAATGATTTCCTGTTTAAGGGAGCAAGAAGAAGATTTCCAGTTACTTCTGAATTTAAATAACAATGATTTCTTATTTAAGGGAGCAAGAAGTAGATTTCCAATTACTTCTTACTTTAACTGACAATGATTTGAAGCAGATCGGAGTTTCTTTATTAGGCCCTAGGTAATTTCTTGTAATGACATTTGTTAATATTAATTTATTTATTATTTTACTTTAGAAAAAACATCTGAAATATCAAAAGCTTGAATCATCTACTTATTTATTATTTCTGTGCTTTATAATATATAACTGTAATAAATATGGTTATTAATTACTTATTGCAATTTGCAACAATAAATGTATTTTATGCATGAATTTTCAGAAGGAAGATAACCACAGCTATAACAAGATGGAACAAGGATGCAGGGAAAATTATATCATGACACCATCTCATAAAAAAGTTGATTCTGTGTTAATAAAAGCTTTCTTTTAACGAATCAAGTATTTTTTAAAAGCAGCGAATGTGTAGGGAACGCTAAAAGAAGCAGATGCGAAGCGAGCATTTATTTTATTCTTTATACGAGTTAAGGCAGAGATGCTTTAGCGACATAATTTTTTTTTCTGCAACATTTTAACTCTCCTAAAAGCTCCTGAAACCACTGTATTTTCTGCCTTACAAATTCATTACACATCTTACTGAGATGACTAAGTAGTAAGTCTAGATAATGATTGACATGAAGAACCTGAAAATAATCGATTACTTTTTTGAAGTAATCGATTACTTTGTTGAAGTAATGTGTCCGAACATAATTCCGAAAATCTAGATATTTTAAAACCAGTTGTCTAGAAGATAAATTCTTTACATATCTTCAAGTAACATTGGAATTCGTCCGTCCATATTCTTTATTCCCCCCCCCCCCCCCCTGGCAACCTCTCCACTACTTTGAGTTAGATCCAATGTTGTTACTCTCTATGCGCTCCAATGTACTAAACATATCGTCTCCTAAGATGGTTAGATTAAAACCCCATAAGAAGTCAATGATTTTATAAGCGAGAGTGACGTCATATGAGGTGTTTATCTATTTATCGAGACGACATTTTCCGTGCACCGCACCGAGAGTTATCAACCTTATTATACAACCTTGGTTAGATCTGGAGATGTTATGGCTTTATTGTTTTGTATCGAAATTGAGTTATTAGTTAAGCCAAGATTTAATATTTCAAACTAAATTCTTCAAAAAAAGTGCATTGGTCCATTTTCAGTTTAATACTGTTTACGCATAGCCCAACAAAACAAATAAAGGCTCAATAAAATATTTAACTAAAGTGGGAATTTTTGTTGACCCACAAAGAATGAGACTTCAGAGACGATTGTACGGAATCTGTTTAGTCCCTTTTCTTGCATTCAGGGTTCCTTGTAGGCAAGAACTGGCTTATTTCTGTGCTTAATCAATTAGTAAATACTCATTTAAATTCATAAACCAAAAATCAAGCTTCAAATCAAAAATTTTAAAGTTTTGGGTCGTCTTTACAGTCTCATTCTTTGTTGTTAACCTTGTAAAGATGGCGCTAATCTACAAAGCCAGAACTTTAAGCGTGCAGAAACTTTTAAGTTGAAACGATAAAGTACCATTATATGGGAGAAAAAGTGTATCGCATCTCTTCTCCAGTTTTGCCTAATCCGATTTTGTAACTTATGAATGATCGGGGGATGTTTAATGATACAAGTATTTTCGAAAGGAGGAATCCCCAATCCAAAAGTTTCGACTCCAGGGTTTATTTTATTAACTTGAACACACCCTCCTGATTCTCTTTTATTATGTATGGTCAATGGACAATGGACATTATAAATTCTGAAATATTAAAAAGAATATTCATCTGCAATAAACCGGACGGTATCCTAGACATTTTAGTCTGGTGACACAGGAGTGTAATATTGCTAGATATACAGAGATATACCAACGCGACGGTAGTAAAGAAACCATTCATGGTATTCGGACAGGGCTTGCGAGATATAGGACAAAATATGCAGACAACACAGAAATAGGATATTGTGAATGAAGTAGGAATGCAACCAACAGTCAAATCGTCTACGCAGCATTCATTTTTGGACCTAATTGTAAAAGAGCGGTGATTCATGTTCATTAGCCGACTTTTAACAATCATGATTTGAGTCTAACAAAACGTCTTTCTATGCCCACTGAAGTCTAGAATGAAATGTGCTATAAACGATTTTGCAGAAGATCCGTGATCATATCATAATCCATTATCCATAATATCGGTCATATCTAATAATCTGCTTCCCTCCTCAGTTAACTTTACAATGGGCAGATAGTTCCGGCCGGAAGAGAGGATGGGCAGTTAGGGATATTCAATGAGTAATGTCATTTCAAAAATCCCTAGAAGCTAATCCTGATTCCTGGGTCACATTGTAAAAATCCATATTTACATACTGATGTCATAGAATTCGAACTTAATTGTTTTAACTTTGGAGGGAGCCGAAATTGTATAATATATTATACTTAAGCACCACAGTCCAGAAATTACAATTTTCTATCATTTATCGGAACCCCCGACCATCCCTCCCCCCCCCCCCATATAAAACCTCTAATTGCACCAATACGTATTATGGATGATACAGGTTGTCCCAATAAACATGGGAATTAATTGACGACTTCTATATCGTCTTTGTTCCATGCGGGATTGTTTTGTAGTATCACAGTTAAAACATTTGACACTAAAAACTAATAGTATCGGGATTTCCAAAATGGGGTCTTCAATTTTTACTTTTTCACCTTGAAAATTGACAGAGTTTAGGAAATTTGTCCAGAATCCATTTTATTAAAAATCAACTAAACTGTTGATTGTTTAATATCTTGGTCAATTACTGATACAAAGAAGGTAGACCACATTTAGGAGAGCTCAATAGACTTTAATTTTTCATTATCAATTATCGAAATTCAAGTCGTTTCTCAATTCCCATGTTTATTGGGACACCCTGTATGATGCGAAAACCTGATATTATCAGAAATATTGTATTTAAGTTGTGCCGTATATCTGAAATCAATTTTGGAAGAATTGGGCGTGAAGGGACGCTGTGTTGTCATACAACCGTGTTATGTTATATTGACATTTCACAGTTAACACAAACACACTCTTCATGGTAAACGATAACACACCTTCACCCCTGGCTATAGATAATATACCTTGTACGGGATCTAATACACGCAGTTCTATCGTTTTATACATGATATACTTGTTTTATAACAGTGGATAAACATATAATAGTTATATATAGATATATACCTTGTATGGGATCTAATACACATACAGTTTTATATTTTTATACACGATCTACCTGTTTTATAACAGTGGATAAACATATGATAGTTATATATAGATATATACCTTGTATGGGATCTAATACACATACAGTTTTATATTTTTATACATAATATACTTGATTTATAACAGTGGATAAACATATACTAGTTATATATAGATAATATACTTTGTATGGGATCTAATACATACAGTTTTATATTTTTATACATAATATACTTGTTTTATAACAGTGGATAAACATATACTAGTTATATATAGATAATATACTTTGTATGGGATCTAATACATACAGTTTTATATTTTTATACATAATATACTTGTTTTATAACAGTGGATAAACATATACTAGTTATATATAGATAATATACTTTGTATGGGATCTAATACATACAGTTTTATATTTTTATACATAATTGTTGACACAAATAAAAGAACAAAAGGGATATTCGGTAACTTTATTGAATAATAGCATGAAATGAGAAATAAAAGCAAAGTTTAAAAATATTGGCCCTTAATTGGGAGTATCTAAACGGTTGAAAATGAAATAACATTGATTATTAGTGTTGAAAGGAATGGAACAGTTGGAGCTTCATGTTGGTGGAGCAGATCAACAGGAACTGAAACAGCAGGGCTTATCCAACCTAGTAGGCAGTGATCGCGGTTTTATCATGAGGTGGAGCTTCATGTTGTCTCTGGTTTACATGATAAACTGGGAACCCTTCGGGTAAGCACGTCTGCTGCTTACTGAGTATCTGCGCCATCATCATAAAGGAGTTAGTAGTTCCTGATCGGAGGTGTTCACATCTCGACGTTCTAAAGCTAACTGACGCTGTTCTCCACAAGTAGAGGCGGTAAAGGGGGGGAACATGAGGAGACACATTTGGAGCGGATATAGTATTATGTATTGTGAATCTTGCGCGGTCAACTTCGCTACACAGTAGTAATCGTCTTCGTGTTTTCTTGAATTTGTTACAATAATATACTTGTTTTATAACAGTGGATAAACATATGCTAGTTATATATAGATATATACCTTGTATGGGATCTAATACATACAGTTTTATATTTTTATACACGATCTACCTGTTGTATAACAGTGGATAAACATATAATAGTTATATATAGGGGTAACCAACGAAAATTTGACTTTTAATATTTAACTATTTACAGTTGGTTTTAAGTCATTTCTAAATCTACAGGGTGTCCCATGATATATTGGATCGTGTTAATGCGTTTAATACCTAAATCTACAGGGTGTCCCATAATATATTGGACCGTGTTACAGCTTTTAAATCCTAAATCTACAGGCGTTCCTATATATTGGTTGGATTGTCTTATAGCTTTTAATTCCTAAATCTACAGGGTGTCCCACATCATATTGGATTGTGTTATAGCTTTTAATTGCGATTTCCGGGACTAATCAGAAAATCTTTAAAAAGTTGTTGTTGAAAAAAGTTGTTTTCTAGGTTTTCCGAGGATTATGTGCGCATTTTGGCGTTAGAATGGAGATAATCTAATATGATATGTGATGTATTATGGATTTGTATAACAAAAAAAACACAAAAATTATTCGAACCGAGAAACCCTTATATCTTTCTCTGGAAGGATCAAAAAAAAATTAATGGAGATATATGAGTTCTTGGTGTACGTATAATCCTTTAGATGGCCAAGATATTTCCAAACTGAAATTTATTTTTATAAAATTTTAAAAATATCTTTGGATACCAATTACATATGTCTCGAAATATGTTTATATAATGTGAGCTACTAAAATAATAATGATGTTTGATAAATAATTAATAATAGGCAAGGTTCTAATGCAAGGAAAGTTATTTCAGTGGTGTACGCATCTTTTGTACTGCAGTGTACTGTCTCTGGCCGGTAATGTAAACACAAGCCGGAGGCCAGAGTCTGACATGGGATCCAATTTTTCACATAAAAAATCAATTAAATATTCTGGTCAAAGGAAACTATTATGTGAATTATCAAAATTTTCAAAATTCAATGCTTTCATCCTCCTCGGCTACTAAACGAACACTGAGGCATCTATTTTTGTTTACGAATTCCACCCAGAGAGATGTGCGCAGAGTATACGCAACTGCAATTAAATTTCCTTGCACTACAACCTTGATAATGGGGATACGTATATATGTCGGCTTTCACAAAACAAACATTTGTTGATGCTTTTGACTTAGAAATTTTTCACATAAAAAATCAATGAAATATTCTGGTCATAGGAAACTATTATGTGAATTATCAAAATTTTCTGTTAATTCACTAATAAATAACTTAACACGGGTTTAATTAACATGTACAGTAATAAATAAATCCATACAGCTAGATATGCAGACAACATATCTATGAATATTAAAACGCAATATCTTATTATTTATGCAACCATTTTTACAGGGTCACCCAAAAATAATAAGACTGTAAAGACGACCTAAAACTATAAAAATATAACGGTCTGAAGGATAAATTTTGAATTTCTGCTTTAAATATTGCCTTAACTATTTGTAACACTTTTATTTTGGTTCGCAGTGTTATAAAGTTTTTGGACAGAATTTTCTCTTTATCGAGAAGAATTTTGTACCGAGCTTTAGCAAGGGACAAAATATAATCTAAAAAGGCGAGAACCTTCAATATATAGTCTAAAAACTTTATAGCACGTCGTGCCAAAATAATAGTGTTATAAGTAATTTTATGAAACATTTGTGTACTTGTCTTATTTCAATGGCTATTTCTAGATCAAATAAGCTTTGAAACAAAATATTAAGTTGATTTCAATTTTATTTTCATTTCAATTGAAAAAAATATTTTGGAAATATTTATTTTTTGGAGAAAATCCGGGAACCAATCAAAACTTTATTGCACACATGCTTTAATGTTCAGCTAATTTAACATTATATCATGATGATTACTTTATGTCACGTTCATTATGAAGTTCACGATGAACTGAGGAAGAATGATAAAGTACACAATAGGTTCATAAAATTTATACCAGAGCAGAAAGTTTTGAAAGTTTAAAATATATGATCAAAATTTCTGATTTGCATGTTATAAAAAACCTTTTATGTCAATTTGTTTATATATATATAAAAATTGTTTGTGCAACGAATTAATATATTAATAATTCACAAAGCTCAAATATCTTAAAATTAATAAGTAAAAAGATTTTCGTAAATCCACAAAAGTACCAAAGTTTAGTAAATATGTAGTTAGCTTGAGTAGACACACTAAAACGTGCATTTACTCTAAATTTGTCCATCTGTACTTTGAGCTCAACCATCCAACTTGTAATTTTTCTTAAATTTTAAATGTCTTTCAGTTTGGGTTTAAAGATTCCCCCTGCCCCCTCCCCCCGAGCCTACAAATAGGAGGAAGCCCGGCGACCCATCTTCATTCCTTACTCTACCCTCGCCCAGTAAACACGCCTGGGAAAACATGAAGGTAGGTCGTCACGTGACAACACTTTTCAAGGTCAATATTTTGTTTGACCTCCCGGTGATTTATGCTGACCTCTGTTTTGCAAAATGACAAAAAGTGTTTAAGTGAACTTTTATTACTGTGAGAATGACCTCATATTCATGAATTTTTTTATCAAAAGGAATTGAGTCATTGTCACAAACTCAAATTTGCTAATCCCTATATCTTTGCAACCTGATGCTGTAATCCTGTGATTATTTTATCTAGCAGAATACATAGGTTGAAATAGCTAAGGTCTACAACATTGGGTTGTAAAGATATAGGGATTAAAAAATCAGAGTTTGTGGGAAAGACTCAATTCTGAATTTTTTGTAATCAAAAGTTTACAAATACTAAAAAAATAATGGACACTTTTTTGATAATTGCCTTTTACACCCGAAAAGATTTTCACGCGTGCGTGCGATGTTCATGTACGATATATAAAAAATATTGCGTTTTTAAGAACTTTTATTTTAAATCTTTGCCCAGAATTTTTTTGTTATAGCCTAATCAGTAATCATGCCTAATGCACGTGCAGAAGAAGAATAGTAATGAAGATGGGAGGGAAGGGGGGGGAGTAGGCAGGGTCTAAAGTGTTTCTTATTGCTTGTCTGTATCTGGTGTAGACGGTATAGAATGGTTCATAGATCAAGGAGTGTCCAAAACCTAAGAAGTTTGGACGATCCAGTGTCCAGTTTAGATTAATCACTCTGTCGGAAGTATAGAAACACACACTAACACTTAGAACACACCTTGGCAAGCCTTTACACACACAAACACACTCATATTACCACACCATGTGGGAGTTTACCAAACTGTATCTGCATAATTAGGTTAAAATTCCGTTCACTTTGCCAGACTTCGTAGTAATTACCATTTTTTCATCTCATCACCCCCCCCCCCCCCTCCTCCATCATCTAACCGCTACTGCACGACATTCGTATCGGTTTGCAATTTAAATGCAATTAGGAAATACATAATGCAAATTTATTTGTGCACTGCATCCTGTACAGTTTTTCTAGCTACTGTTTTTATTTTTTCTGTATTTTAATACATTCAAGACTTATTTCTACAGGCAGGGTACACAGGATACAGGGTGGTTGTAAAGCGTTATTATTGTTTGTTTTTATTGGCAGAAGTGGGGAGTCACATCCTGTGAGTTTTTTTAATTTCAAATAAAAACAGCAATAATGTTTAACTATTTTATAAATCATAATTCATTCAGATTTTGAAATTCTTTCGATAAAAAAAATATTTCGAATTTTATCAAAATCATTTCATCAATCGAATTCGCGCGGTGACAAACGGCCTTGACCAGTTAATTTAATCTAAATTTTATTACAATTAAATCGGTGTCCAAAACCGACTTCGTCTGAAGCATATGTTTATTTATTTATTTATGTTTGCGTTTGAGTACAATTCTATGATATATTTATCTGGTCCTTTGTGTTAGGGAATTTAGTATTTTCCAATCCCTTATCGTTGAAACCTAATAGAAGAAATCTTTGACATTTCACACACAAATTATTTGATCCAACAGAACTTATAGTTTAAAATATCTCAGGTCTACGATAATGGGTTGCCCAGATATATGGTGATGTGAAAGACTCAATTCCTTTTTTGAGAGTAAAAGACACTGCAATAGTTTTTAGATTAGCGGGATTCAATGAAAATTGTTGCATATTAAAAAGCCAGCTTTTTATAATTTTATAAAGGAATGTATTTTTCTCACTTTTGAACAAATTTATGACACTATAGAATCCCTGATATTTACATTGCAACCCTGAAACCAGTGTCGCAATGTTAGATTGCAACCCTAGGGATGCAATCTAATCAATTGCGAATTTTTCTGCGGGTTTACATACAACTCCGAAAACATTAATCAGATTTGATTTCTGAACTCAAAAATATGTGTTATATTACTAAATAGATTTTATAGTTTATAAACCTAGTAAAGAGTAGATTTTGATGTAAAATCTTGTGCGGAAAAATCTCCATAAAAGGAACTGAGTTATTGCCACAAACTAAAATTTTCTAATCCCTATATCTCTGCGACCAGAAGGTGTAACCCTTTGATATTTCAAACTTAGATTATTTGATCTAACATAATTCATAGTTTGAAATATCTAAGGTCTATGCCATTGGATTAAAAAAATATAGGGATTAGAAAATCAGAGTTTGTGGCAAAGACTCAAATACTTTGTTATAAAGTTTAAAAAAAACTACATATCTCTGCATTTACGTGAGGCAGCTAGGATGCAATACATATAGGAGAGAATATTACGTTGCCTTGGGTCCCATAGCACATTAATTGCATCTCTATTGCCTCCCTTTAATGAAAAGATAAATAGTTATTTAAACATTTTAACTTGATATTAATTCTGTAAAGCATATATCTCGTGTTTATTTAGGGCATCCTGTATTTAAACATTTTTCTCATGAGTAGTTTTTCTTTCCAATATTTCTACAATGTTGCATGCAATTTTACCCCCAACAAGATCTAGTTTGACATGGAAAATACACATTCCTGATCTGCTGTATTGTACTATATACATATAATATATGTATATTTATCATATCAATGTTAACAGATAATCTCACCTTTACAAACATGAGTTAAGTTTACGTTTACGCTAAACCCTACAAATGCGTTTAAAAAGAAGATAAAAAGTGCAGAATGCAGAATACACTTTCATATCACAATGCACAGTGCATACATACATTCTTCTTATATCCATAGGTCAGGACAGAACATATTCGTAGATATATATCTAGCAACTCAAATCTATACAGTTGAAGTTCTGCTCATTTATAGAGGGATATCTTTTCCGCGTCATTTCAAGTGATCCTTCACTAGTGATCAATTAGAGTTTTTTATTTAGAAAAGAAAGGACACTTTTTAGCATTTTTTAAATAAAAGTTTTAAATGTACCGTTGTAAATGCGATATTGAACTTAATGTTTACAGTCCCTTGGAAATAAGAAAGAATAAAATATTTCTTTAGCGTGTCCGGCAACAATGGATAGTAATGATTGTGGATTTACATATTGACAAATTGGTTAACCATTGGTGAATTATTAGTTAGCTTTTGAACTTTTGAAAATCATTCTCTAGATATGGATTGTCTTGAATAGAGTAGGTTAGTATAAGAGAGGGAAGGTGGGGTGCATATAACTATAGGAGGTCGGATGAAGGGGGGAGGAGAAGATTATTGGAGATGGTTGGATGGAGGGATTTTTGGAGGTGGTTGGGTGGAGGGGTTGGGGATTATTGGAGGTGGTTGAGTGGAGGGTGGAGAAGAAGATTATTGGAGGTGGTTTGATGGAATGGGGGGATTATTGGAGGTGGTTGGGTGGAGGGGGTGGGGATTATTGGAAGTGGTTGAGTGGAGGGTGGAGAAGAAGATTATTGGAGGTGGTTTGATGGAAGGGGGGGGGGGATTATTGGAGGTTGTTGGGTGGAGGATTATTTGAGGTGGTTGGTTGGAGGGGGGAGAAGAGGATTATTGGAGGCGGCTGGGTGTGGGGAGGTGGGCTGAGAAGAAGAATATAGAAAGGTTTGGTGGGGAGGGGATAGAAGGATGATTGAGGGGATTTTGAAGAAAACTGAACCACATAACAGAGAATTAATCTATTATCTTTGGTCTGAACAATTTTAAAGCAAAATAGACAATTGTTAAATTATGCGTTGTAATAGTAAGCTATGTAGTAAGGATAGCAAAAATTTCCATGTTTATAACTTTGTAAGTTTATTCATCTCTATATTTTTATGCATCTTCATCTATCTATCAATGAATTATAAATATTAATATCTCTATCTGGGCAAGAGTTAAGAACCATCATTTATTTTAAGATGAAAATATTCAATTTGTATTTAATTAAAACTCTTGAAGAAAAATTGCAAGCTGAATACAGTGAGGAGGTGATTAATTGAATTTAATGCTTCATGAACTATGAATATGAACATATTTTCATAATTTAGCATTCATTAATATAAGACTAGATACTAAACATAAATAATATTTAAAATCCAGGCAAAGTATTCTGGGAGGTAATTTTGCAGCAACAAATAACACTTCTTTTATTTTTTCTCCAGTTTTCAACATTAGAGTAAAATTACGGAGCTTTGCATTCATATTTACTTAGTTTTTTTTTCTGTATTGCCATTTTAGTAGAAGGAATATAGACGTAGTTTTCTGTATTGCCATTTTAGTAGAAGGAATATAGACGTATTTTTCTGTATTGCCATTTTAGTAGAAGGAATATAGACGTAGTTTTCTGTATTGCCATTTTAGTAGAAGGAATATAGACGTATTTTTCTGTATTGCCATTTTAGTAGAAGGAATATAGACGTAGTTTTCTGGTGACCGTACATTTCACGCACCTCTGATCCTTTAGTAAAAGTAAATTCAACCTAAAGTCTGACCGCGTCAACCTTGTTGCACCGACTAGTCCTATTGAGTGCCTGCTTTATTTACCCTATAATTTCCGGGCGATACAGTACAAACTAGGACCGGAAAGATTCACCCAGCTCGGAAATTCAAATTTCCTATGGCTGCCCGTGATTTATTAGATTGCATGTCCAAATCACAACGGCACTCTTTAAATCTTTGTCTGAGCTAATATCACACTTTTTTCTTTTAAAAATTTTCAGTTGGTGGCCTCTTTAGAAGTGATTTGAGTGATTTTCGGATTAATGCGTCAGTGGAGAAAAATGGAATTGTCAATGGAACAATTGTTCAGATAGAAAAACGATGATATCTTCCTCATCGTTATTCAGATTAAGGGTTAACGGATACCGTTGTAAAACAGATATGCAAATATTTAAATGTAGGGTCACTTGAAATTATGTCTATAGTCTCTTTAAACTGAAACATTTTTAAACTTTAGTTTAGTGCTTTCAGTTTGGCCTTTCCGTCCCATTTTTCCCGTAAACCTATATACTGCTGTTATATAATAGATTATCATGCTGGAATTACTTAACTA